GGAGCTGCGTGTGTGCCTTTTCATCTCCTGCCAGTGAACGTAACACATGTATCCTCAGGTCCAGCAGTCGCATCCATCGTTTCCCCTCCCGGGAAAGAGTAGCTTCCCCTTCCACCCTGGGGCTCCTGTCAGATTCTCAAAGAGGGCTTGGGATCATACTGCTAGTTTCCTCCCGTTTCGCATGGTGGTTACACCTGGACCCGTAAGTACATGGGAAAAGCAGAGAGAAGTTCAGAGAGGGAATCTCATGTCACAGAGACCCAGGCTCTGAAGCTGAATCCAGCTCAGATTCTCCCCAGCTGCGTATGCATCTGGGCAGGTCCCCTCACCTCTCTGAGCCTCAGTGCCCTCTATGAACTGGGATGCGAGGCACCAACCAGAGCGACCCCTAACTCACCTCAGAGCTCCTGGCAGGTAGACCGGGGTCCCAGTCATCCTTGACCCCAGGCCCCCAGACCTCCTGAGGTGAGAATGGCAGTGATGATAAATGATCTGGCAGAAAGAACACAAATCTTGGAGTCACGACACCCTGGTTTACATCTCGGCACGGCCGCTTACGTGACCTTGAGCATGTGGCTTCATCTTGGGTTGTGTACCTGGGATGTGGGTGAAAGTTGAAGAGACATAATGAATGTCTGTGGAAACCAGCCTGGAGCCTCCCCCTCCCCCTATCTCTGCCTCTCCCTCTCCTTCCCCTCCCCAGAAGCCTTGCACATCCTCCATTTCGGGTGTGTGTGGGCAGGCGTGGGCAGGAACCCTGGTGGGCATGGGGGCTGCTGGGGCCTGCTGGGCTCTGGAGGAGGGACAGAGGCTGTGCACCTGCCATCCCTCCCAGCACACATCTGGCCCTCCCAGGAGGGGCTTCTCCCCAGCTCTGCAGAAGATCTTGGCCATTTCTCTTACTCTTCCCTTTCCTACTGGGTCCTGCTGCCCTGACCTATATCCTGTTACACACACACACTTCTCCTGGACACAGAGGGAGACAGAGGAGGAAGCTGGCCGGAGGTCTGCTCTCTTGTCTCACTGGGGCTGAGACCCAGAGAAGTTTGCTCCAAGAGCTGATCCTTTGAGCTCTGACCATTGGAGGACAGGTAGAATTTGCCCAAGAAAGAGGTATTGCCAGAGAGGTGGGGAAACACGAGGCAGGGGTAGCTGGAGGAGCAGACAGTGAGTGCATTGAAGGCCACGGAAGATGACCCTGGAGAGGGGCTGAGGGCAGCGGAGGAGCCTGGGTTGGACTTCGTGTCCCTTCTACCCTGGTGGGCGGTGTTGCGCTGGGCCACAGAAGTGAATCCGACAGCCCCTGCCCTGGGGCTAATGCTGGTGATAATAACAGCTGGCCAGTGACTGTGAGCTGGGCACTCAGCCTGAATTATCTCACTGAATCCTCACAGCACAAGATAAATCTGCTAGTATCCCTGGTTTATCCATAAGGAGATGGTATGTTTCTTGCCCAAGGTCCCCACACAGTTGAGTGACCAGAGCTGAGTTTGGATCCAGGGCCAGGGCTCTCCTGTCTTAGTCAGCTTATGCTGAGTGCAGACTGGGTGGCTTATGAACAACAGACATTTGTTTCTCACAGTTCTGGACGCTGGGGAGTCCAAGACCATGGGGCTGACAGATCTGGTATTTGATGAGGGCTTCTTGCTTCATAGATGGTTCTCAGTTCATAGATCATTATGTCCTCACTTGGAAGAGGCGAGGGAGCTCTCTTGGGCCTCTTTTATAAGGGCATGAATCCCATTCTTGAGGTCCCTGCCCTTAGGACCTAACGCTTCTCAAAGGCCCCACCTCCTAACATCATCACCTTGGGCATTAGGCGTTCAACATAAATGAGTGGGGGTGGGGGGAACAAACATTCAAACCATTGCAGATCTTAACCATATTTTATTGCCTCCCAAAGACTAGAGGTCATTTCTACCTTGGGATGAAGGAATTCAGGAAAGACATGAGGAAGGAGGAGATGCTGAGTCTTAACAAATGAGGAGGGTGGATCAGGTGGATAGAGGTGGGCAGGCCATTAGAGACAGAGGAGCAGCATGAGCTAAAGCGTGGAAGCGTGAGTTAGCAGGTAGGGACTTCAGATGGGCCGAAATGGGAACTGGAACAACAGGCAGCATTACTGGCTGAAAAGCTGAGATCTCTTGTGGACAGTGGTGATGTGATCTGGTTTGTATATAGATCATTCTGGCAGAGAGCAGAAAGTGGTTTGGGATGGGCAGAGGGGGCCCATCCTTGGGCACTCATTACATGTTTGTTGAGTAAACGAATGGAATTCAACAATAATTGTGTACCATTTATGCTCCAGTCATTCTACTGGGCTCTGGGGGCGGGGGTTAGTGGTCAACAAGACAGACACTGGACATGGCCAGTCATTATGATGATCCTTTTGAAAGATGGTGAGACCTGGACTTTGAGTGGCAGCAGTGGCTTTGGGAGGAAAGGATGGATTTGTGGGAGTCTACAGAAAACAGAATCAAAAGAACTAGATAACCGGTAGGACAGAATGGACGGGAGAGATGAGGAATGTCGATTCCCAGGCTTCTGGTTTGGAAGCCCATGTGGACAACAGAGGTTAGGGAACACAGGAGGAGGAGCAGACCTGGGGAAGCCAGAAGTGACTGAGCTGTCTAACAGCAGAGGATGGGTTACACAGGTTATGGTACACCCTCGTGACAAACTTCTTAGAGAACGTCATTTTGACGTCTATCGCATTCAGTTATGTAGATGTGTCATTTAACCAAACCTCTATTGTACACTTTCAGATTTTTTTTCTGGTTTTCCACTTTTATAAATAACACTGTAATCTTGACAAAAGTCTTCACCATTCTGATTACTCTTTTAGAAGAGAAATGTAGTCATCAGGTGTAAACAACTTGAGGCTTTTGTTACATGTTGTCAGATTGCTTTCTAGAGAGGCTGTACCGAAAGTTACTCCTATAGTGGTGTAGCAGAATTCGGTCACAGCACACCACCACAAGCACTGAGATGTGTACACAGGTACACATGCATACTTCAGAGGATAAAAAAACAGTATCCTATTATCTGCATTTCTTTTTCACTATTGAGTTTTTTCATGCTTTTTAACCTTATTTTTCATTTTTTCCCATTTTTATGGGGCTTATTGATTTTTCATGAATTTTTAAAATATTATGTATTATTATTTGTGTGATAAAATTTTCCCCACTTTTTTGTTTCCCTATTAATTTTGCTTATTATATTTTTGATGCACCAAAGCACTTTAAAGTATTTACAAAGTCAAAATCTGTTTAGCTTTTTCTTTATTTCTAACATTGCATTAAGGAAGTTTAGTGATAAAATATACATCTAAATTTTCTTTTATTTATTAATTTTTTTTTAGCAATTAGATATTTTGTGTGTGGCGTGAGGAAGTAAATTGATCTTTTTCCTAAGTAGCGAATTTTCAAGTATCACTTGCTGAGAAAATCGTCTTGTTCCCACTGATGGTGAAACTTCCTTTATCATAACCTAAGATCTGCTTCTGGACCATCTTGTTTCATTGATCTTTGTGTTGAGTCTTATACATCACTGTTTGAATCACTGAAAATTCATAATATACTCTAATATCTAATTTTTAAATGGGGAGATGTTTTTACCTGTTAAATCTTTGGAGTGGGTTTTTAAATTTTTATTTTATTATTTTATTGTATTTTTTGGAGTGGGTTTTTAGAGTCCTTTTGATACATTTCAAAAAACAAAATCCTACTAGGATTCTCCTTAGAATTATGTTACAGTGTTACGCCTACACTGATCTAAATGGAATTGGCATTGTGTTAATATTCAGCCTTCCCATTGAAGAACATGGTTTGCCTCTCCCATTTTTTTAAGTTATCTTTTTATATCTTTCAATGAAGGATTATAGTTTGTTTTTTTTAGCCATAGGTCCCACATAATTAACTTTATTGCTCAGCATTTGATGTTTTTGTTAGGACTGCAAACACATCTAGTTTTTATTATATCTGGTGACTTTCCTACTGGAGTACAGATCCCATTGCTAAATTATTTGATCCATTCTGAGTTTAGTTGATTCTTTTGTTTTTTTTTTCAGGCAAATAACACACTCCCTGGAAATAATCAGCTGGAGTGCATGGTTTGGTTACATCTCCAGTTTGCAGGGTTGGTTTGTGACTCTGTCCAGCGGTACTCAGGAGCCCAAGTGTAACGGGTGGGAAAGGTGGATGAATGGGTTGATCGCAAGTTCATGGTTTCCCTGGACTAGGACAAGAAGATGGCAAGGGGCACTCACAAGGAGAGTGACTAAGGTGACATACTTGAGGGACTAGACCAGGAAGGGCTCGTGTACCATGCAGAAAAACAGGGCTGGGAACTAGAGGAAGGGAGATGGGTAGACGGAGAGGAATTGGTGGCCCTGGAGTGACTGCTGGGGTGTCAGGTTTCAGAGCTGATGCCTTTCCAGTCCAGTACTGAGATCTCTGCAGGAAGAATGACCTCATTTGCAGGCAAAGAAACTGAGGCTCAGGGAGCCTGTCCCTTGCCCAAAGTTCCCCAACACCATCGGTGGCAGAACTGGGACTTGGGTGTCATTCTGCTTTGCGGTACTAGCTCATGTTCTGTCTTTATTTTTCAGGTTCACTTTAGAACAGTTGACTGAGAGAGCGAGGAAATTCAGCAGAAGGGAAAGGAGGCGAGCCCAGCAGAGCAGATAGGAGAGGACAGGCTCCTTCTGGGCCCCTCAGTAGCGGTGAAGGGGAAGGGTACAGCTGGGCCGCTGGGTCTCCCTATTGGCCCAGGAACCCCTCAGGCCAGAGCAGCACACCCCGTGCCCGGCCCTGCAGCTCACTTTGTATCCTCTATCCACACTGTGGCCCCACCATGTGCTTTCTGTTCTCCACCACACACCTTGTCTGTCACACATCCGTGTCCCCACCACACACCAGGTCCTCCTTCCTCCAGCTGTGTCTACTCCCCATGACCCCG